GTGGTAACAAATAGCCCCCAAATATCAGTGGCTTTCAAAGACAAAGGTTTATTTCCCACTCATACTCTGTGTCCATGGAGGGCCAGCTACAGCTCTGTTCCACATCACCCTCACTCCAGAACCCAGACGGAATGGAGCAGGGAACAGGAAATAGAAAATCAAAACTAGGAACGTGTTTGTAGGAACATAAATTAATTCCATACTCCACAGCCATTGGATTTCTGCACTGAGATGTTTTGCTGAGCTGATTCTTCATATTTGTACCCACTCTATTCCCTTCCTGTCTTCAGGTCTTGGCTCAAACATCACCTCTCCATGGAAGTGGTCCCCTGACCATCCAGTTTAAAGCACAAGCATCAACCCCAAACTGTCACCATTTACAAGTGTTTATCTTCAGTGCTCCACCAGAAGTGCTCTGAGAGCAAAGCCCGTATTCACCTCAGTCCCCCAAGACTAGTGCCTGGAACATAGCAAATGCACAATAACCACTTGTTGAGTAAAAGGATGAGTAAAATAGATTACACTGGAGAACCCATAGCATGTTGGTGCAATTAGTTATAAAATTAGTGAGTTCGAGAAGCAATCTCATTAAAATGAAAGTAGTATAATATACTAAGAATAACATAATTAGAACAGAAAACTAGGGCCACATACAAGAAATCCTGAAATTACTGAAGATGAAGAATTTGTCAAAGTATTCCCTGCACTGTCTGCTGGAAGAAAAGGATTTCTTTACAGGATTTGATCGGGACCAGTCCTCACAACAGCAGACTGAGATGGGGCTACAGAGCTTGGTGTAAACATGCTTACCCATTCCTGTCCAGTCTCCTATCTGTTCTCCATCCAGCAACCTCCTGACCTGTACCTGGATCTCCTAGCATACAGCTCATGAGAAAGGAAAGAAAGACTGTCCAAATTACTAGTACCCTGCATCACGCCAGCTCTCCTGACCTTGGTTATCAATATTTCCTTAACATTATTTGGTCATTTGGTGAATTTGGTCAGTGTTTTTGGCACTGGATAGTTGAGGAAATCAGGCCTTGCAATGTGCAAGTGTAATGACCATGGATTATAAGGACCCCTGAGACTCACCCCAACTTCCTTGCTATGATGGCATCCCCCATTTGCTACAAGATGGCATTTGGTGAATAACTTGTGAGTATTCCAATTCATGTCCAAAACCAAAGACCTTCCCTAGTGGTTCACTTGGATCAATACATAGAAAATCTGCCCTGTTTTGGAATATCCACTGGCTGGGACCTGCTTAAAAGTACCCTCACAAGCAGCCAAGAGGTCCTTCAGTGGGTGACGGATAAACAAACAGTGGTCCATCCATCCCGACAATGGGCTAGTATTCAGCACGAAGATGAAATGAGCTATCAAGCCATGAAAACATGTAGAAAAACCTTAAATGCGTACTAGTAAATGAAAGAAACCCGTCTGAAAAGGCCACCCACTGGATGATCCCAACTCTATAACCTCTGGAAAAGGCAAACCTATGGAGACAGTAAAGGGATCAGTGGTTGCCAGGAATGGGGGAAGGCAGGCAGGGGTGAACAGGCAGAGTCCAGGGAATGGGGGGGGGCAGTGAAACGACTCTATACGAGAGCATAACGATGGATACATGCCGCTATACATTTGTGCAAACTCACCGAATGTACAAAGGAACCCTCATGTAAACTCTAGACTGTCAGTGATAATCATGCTTCAGCACTGGCTCATCAGTTATAACAAATTAAAGACAGAAGCAACAGGGGACACTGTGGGCAGGGAGGAGGGGCAGCATGGGAATCCTGTACTTTCTCAACAACTCTTCTGTCAACTCAAAACTGATCTTTTTTTTTAAGTCTACTAATTTTTTAATTGACCCACAAAAGTACCCCACCCCTTTAAAGGCTGCTCTTGGGCAGCCATTCTGGGCGCGTGGATTTCTTCCCCTTCACCACGGTGAGCTCGGCAGGTGTGCCCGAGCAGGACGAGCTCACCGACAGCAGGAGTCCGGGTGACCCAGGCCTCAGAGAGGCGCCCGGCCCACGGAAAGGGCGCCACGACTGTTCGCTGAATTAAGATTTCAGTCCTTGTGTCTCTGCTTGGCCATGAATGGCGGAACACTGACAAGCGCAATTGAAAGCTGAGATCAAAAACCTCCCCCGGGAAAAGCAGTCCGGCGGCCACCT